CCCGTCTGCGGCTGCATTCGCTCCTGTAGCCTTGAAGCACTGTAGACGTCGACGTCGACGCGAAGTCTGAACGTTGCCTTAGGTCAGACATCGCCAACAGTGTGGTCGTTGTGAACATGTCCGCAATAATACTGTACAATGACCCATCAGTGTTGAAAAATACCAAGCAGTCTCGTGAAGGAAGCATCTGCAGTTCTCCAGACCTAACGGATATATTCGACACTAATGGTAAGTGTAACTATCAGGTTAAAGACGAAGGTACGGCGGATTTTAGTTTATTCTCGGAGTAAAGCCTAAAGATTTGGCCCTGGATCAACCCTCTTTGGGATTCGGCAGAAAACGGGAGAAGGTTTGCACTGTTAGTGCTTCCTCATTTACACGTCTCACTCTGGCGAAACCTGTGAACTCTTGTGAAGCTGGAACAAGGTAGTCAAGCCATCATGTTAAAACCTGTCAACTCGAGAAGAGGCTGTCTAGATAGGCCGACACGTCGATGGGGAGTGCAAACGTGCAAAATGCCCCCCTTGTCGACAAGCTGCGCCAAAAACTGTAGTGCCTGAAGGATGTAGTACATGTGAGACTTGAGTGGTACCATCAAGAGCTGCGTGGAAATCATACAGACTTGGAAGATAGAGGTGAAGTTCACTTTTTTGAGACACGGTGAGGACGACCACGAAGGCTTCATAAACATGGTCATTCGCGCCAGACCCCACGACACATCATTGGCTGGGGATTTTAGTCGAGTCCATACGCCCCCCCCCTCCCCTCCCTCCCCTGTCGCTCCTCATCGAATTGAGCCGGACGTCGAGCGATGGGGGGGGGGGCGGCGGGGCGGAGGAGGGCAAATAGCAAATCTGAACCAGGAACAGGAAATACGACCTCCCTCTCTACCAATTCTCAGATTTTCCCCTACTTCCCGCCACTTTTTCCCAAATCCCGAAAAGCCGGAAACTTCCCCACTTTTTCCCAAAAATTTTGCTGCCGAGCGAGAGGCAGATCCTCCTTCTGCATGTGTGTCCTGTGTCCCCCACACATTGCAAAAAATAGAAGAGCAGTCGGATTGCAGGATTCACGGTCTGAGCCATAATGCCCAAAAATGTTTTTTCTCGAAACTCCCCGTATTATATTGTATCATTCACCGTATATGCCTTCCTACTAGGGAGCTCTCCAGCTTTCCCCACCAGTACTGCAGAATGCTGAGATGCGTTGGTATGTTTGAATGTTGAAACCTTAGAGCAGGGCTCTGCTGCTGTTCAGCTGCAGCTTACGTAAGGCAAAACCTTATGAAATCAGTCTCTCAACCAATTTCCTATCGTTACCATTGTGTGCCTCCCTCATTTCCTTACCTATCGTTTCCCACTTTTTGCTCTCAAGGCTCTTTTGGAACTGAATTGCGAATTTTTGAAAGTTTTCTTGGCTCACCGAGCACCTACAGCACGCTCCGCCCATAATGAAATGAGTGTGGGCAGAGCGCTCCCTCATTTCGTTCGCCCGACATTGCTTCCTCATTTCGTCCGCCAACATGTTGCCTATCATTTCCCGCATTTTCCAATATCAGCGTTCTCATAGAATCTAATTATGAATCTTTATAAGTTTCGTAGAAAGCACCGCTCACTAGCGCGTCCCGCCCTAAGTGAGTGTGCCTCCCTCATTTTGTGCGCCAACCGACCGAATTGCCTTGGCCCAGATCGTTTCCATCCGTTTTTCCTGCGCGCTCGAAGCAATTTTTGAAAACGAGTTAACTCACGGCAGGCCGCGACCCCCTCGCCCACAGTGCCCGGTCGCGACAGCTTAGCTCATGTGTGTTTCGTACATCTTGGTCCACACCCATTCCACCCTGACCCGGCCCTTCAAACCGGCCCTTCAGGTGATGCCGAATTTCTGGACAGGCACACCACGAGCCTCTTACCCACATAACTATTATCATCTTAGTCAAGGTAGTTTATCTACAGACGTTCAGGAGTCTCTTCTCGAGACACATATGATGACAAGATAGGCTGATGGTGAGATTCACAGCCATAAGTGCTGGACAAGGAAAGGTTCCTCATGTACTACTTCAATTTGTGAACTATTTTGAAACTTCACGCGCAAGAAGTTCACTGTGTGAGCGAAGTTCCTCAACATTTCCCTGCATTTTCGCATGTGCTCGTTCGCTCGTTGCTCCACTTTTATGGCACATTTCTTTTTCTCCTCCAGTCATGGCGCGGAGATGAAATGATTTCAACGTTTTTTCAACTGCTTCGCGTTCACTACAATGGGTTGACAAGAAAAACTCAAGATAAAAAAGCTTTACGAAGCGGATATATGCCTTCTAAAACAGGGCTCTCATTGCACACTTTCATCCTTTTCTACATGCCTTGGAAAGCCGAAGCCGCCATACATACCGCGTAGACCTCCGAAGCCATCTTGACGCCTTGGCCTGAACCTCCTACTATACGACCTGAAAAGTAGCACAGCATCCGGTAAATATCTTCCAATCATAGAGACATGCCTGGAAACTGTCAACAACAGTAACGAATAGGCTTTCAAACCTGACCCGATTAGTGCCTGCAAGCGACCTCCCAAAGCCGTTTTGACTGCCGCCTATACTTTTACCTAATATGCTCGAATAGTCAATTAACAGTAACGAATAGTTCTTCAAACCTGAACCGCTAATTCCGGCTTCTGGACCCCCGAAACCACCTCGGCCGGCGAGATGACCTCTAAATATGACGGAACCTGAAAGTAGCACATCAGCATCGGTAAATAGTTTAAATCAAAAAAGCATGCCCGAATCGTCAATTAACGAATAGCTGTTCAAACCATGAGAGTCGAGGGCGGTGTGATAACACGCCTACCTGCCCCTGAAACCGCCGAAATCGCTTGGACCGCCGAAACTGCCCGGGCCACCGAAACCTCCTAGACCTCCGAAGCCATCTTGACCGCCGCCTGGACCTCCTACTATGACGGGACCTGAAAGCAGCATCAGCATCGGTAAATAGTTCAAATCAAGAGAGCATGCCTGAAACGTCAACCAACAGTAACGAATAGCTTTCAAACCTGGACCGCCGATTGTGCCTGGAGGTGGACCTCCGAAGCCGTTTTGACTGCCGCCTATACTTTTACCTAATATGCTCGAATAGTCAATTAACAGTAACGAATAGTTCTTCAAACCTGAACCGCTAATTCCGGCTTCTGGACCCCCGAAACCACCTCGGCCGGCGAGATGACCTCTAAATATGACGGAACCTGAAAGTAGCACATCAGCATCGGTAAATAGTTTAAATCAAAAAAGCATGCCCGAATCGTCAATTAACGAATAGCTGTTCAAACCATGAGAGTGAGGGCGGTGTGGATCGCCACCGCCTAGGCTGCCTGAACCACCGAAATCGCTTGGACCGCCCGGGCCACCGAAACCTCCTAGACCTCCGAAGACATCTGAACCTCCGAAGCCACCTGCTCCTCCGGAACGGCCTATAAATCCCTCATATTCGCGCCTGTTTTTGACGATCTATTTTAGTATATGGTGGTTTGGCCCTAAATTCATACCATTGTCACTAAGCTACAACATCTTTCAGCTGGACAAGCAGTTAAGGTGATGAACTTATATGGGGAGCAAAAGGCAAGGATAGTGACCAATAATACATAGGCGCAGCTTTGTCAACGCGAGCTTGACCTACTTCATGACGAGCGTTATAGCAACAAAGTGCTTTGGCTCAAAAAAATGGACAAAAGAGCGTACGATACATTGATCATGGATGGTAGAAAATGATAGTGACCATAAGAGCTGATATGGGACCTTAATAAGGCAACCAAGCCTCAAACTAGTCGTTTCATGTCATGTAATGGTCTAGCTTCGACTCATACAAATGAAGGACATGCACAATGGAGGTGAGAAGTATTATTAGAGTGTCCGGAAACTTTAGCCCGTTTTGGGTGTTAACTTAAAACGATCATAACTTTCTTAACACTCATCGGATTTAATCCAAATAAGCACCATTCGAATCAGCACACTTTTGCCAATGTGGCAGCAGTCGAGAAATCCCATCAAAGAAAAAAACTGGGTTGGTCGAAATCCACAAATCTGCGAACCGGTTCTCTCTTTTTGGCCTGGTAATGTTTGATGAAGTATTTCTCAGCAGAGGAAAGTTCTGAAAATGTCTGAAAAGGTGACAGTCGGTTGGTGAAAGGTCTAGAGAATATGGTGGTGAGGTAGAACTTCAACTCCCAATTCGTTCAATTTATGGATAGTGATTTGTGAAACGTGTGGGCGGGCGTTGTCATGCAAAAGAATCGGACCCTTCTTTTGATAAGTGTTGGCTGCCCAGAGCTGACAATATTTTCCCGTAACATTTGTCGGGGTTGTTCACAGGTAAGGTCTCTTGATGGTTATGGCCTGTACTGAAAAGTATATAGTGGATTACAACAGCCGATGACCACCAAACCTGACCAGAATTTTTTTTCGCGAGGGTTCGCTTTGAAAATTACCTCGGTGGTTCCTCCAAATCCAACCACTGTCCGGAACGTCTCCTGTTATCATACATGATCCATTTTTCATCACAGGTGACAAATCCGTTCAAAAACGGGTCAATTCTTTTGCGCAAAAGCAGTGAAGAAGGAACCTCGAGACGTGCCGATTCCTGCCGGTCACTCCGATTGTGGGGCACCCAATTGTCGAGTTTTTTCACCTTCCCAATGCGTTCCAGACCATCTGCAACAGTGGATTTGCCAAGGCCTAGCTCTTCTGCTATCTCTCGAACTGTTTGGGATGGGTCAACCTTCAAAATCCCCCTAAAATCCTCGTCAGATATTGCTTTAGGTCGACCGCTATGAGGCTCACCTTCAAGGCTGAAATTTCCAGAACGACATTTGTTGAGCCATTGCGGCACAGTGCTTTCTCTAGCACTATTGGGCCCCCACACCTGGTTAATTTGTTGAGCTGTTTCGATTGCGGATTGCCCCAATTTATAGCCGAAGAAAAAAATCGTCCGAAGTGCTCTTTTCACATGCTTGAAAAAATCTTGAAAAAAGAGGGTTTATCAAGCAATGGTGAAACGGCAATTATACCATCAGATAGCGCAAGAAATTCTCTACAGGATGTCTACTGGAAAGGGCCAAGCAGGAATGAGGTTTTTAACAGATGAATGTACAAAGATTAGGGCTGCACAAAACGCTAAGAACTTCCGACAACCTAAGACTATAGAATCGGAGTACTTCTACGCATTTGAATAAACTGGGTCTATAAGATGTACTTATCAGATCAAAGTCAAGTGTGTAACGCAACAAATAGTAATTAAGGTTCTAGCCCTGGCTGGTCAAGAACATCTGGTTAGCATACGCATACTTCTTCAACAGCTCATAGGAGGCACAAGTTGAAGGAACATAATGGCCCTGATTTCGAAATAAAGGGTACTGTGTTGGCGCATGGGAAATTTGTGCGAACGAGCTAGAAGGGTTCTGGGTGTCAAGGAGGAACACATCGATGAACAACCAGGGTGACCTGCCTTCAACAACCAGTGAACTCTCGCCATTGATATCATGCTGCGAAGAGCATTACGAGAGAAGAGAGAGGGAAGATGAAGTTCTTGGTGGAGTGGAGCATAAATCCGAATTTCCAACAACTTTTAGGCCTCCGAAGCGACGACAACCTTCCAATCTCGTGAGGCACAACATAACTAGCCAAGCTACAACTTATCATGCGGTTGCAAGGAAAGGAAACCCGGGAACTCCTATGGCTTTTGATGCGAGAGCTCCAGACTTGAGATCGGAAAACATTGACGGCCTTCTGGGTACGCGCTAAAGGTCCGAAAATACGCGGAAAAGTGAATGCCTGGGCATTACAGATGAACCAAAAAAAGAAGGGATATGCTTGATCAAACCACGGGAAAAAGAAACCGCTGCAAGTGAAAACAAAGGATTGTCAATTTGTTCAAGTAGGCGCGGAACGTTTGCCAAAGTCGCCCTGTCTTCTACGGTCAGCCATGACCCTACAAGATGTGTCAACTTCTATACATTCTACGGAGAGGCATGAGCATGAAGTATGTGGTAAAGAGTTCAACGACCAGAACCGTATTGTCTCAGTGTACATCAGTGAAAAACATACGGAAATGGAGGGGCTAGGTTATTTGGACTCGTATTAAAGCTGTTTCCCACTGAATTCAAATCTAGGGTTAAAGGCACTTTCCGCAATAAACTAAGGCTATAACCTCTTAAATGTGTCAGATGATCCGGTAGGCGATTGTAGAGGTTGCACTGCATTCAAAACTTGGAAAATGGCACGCAAAGCACAGTAAACTTCGATTTTAGGCCCAAGGAGGCCCATGCCGGCCTACCTTGCCCGTGTCGTCGTACTAATGCCGTTGTGCTCTCTCGCCCGTCATTTTCTGGTCTCTCTCCGCGCTTTGCAGTGTATCGTCACCTTCTGCATATCACTGTTGATCTTGACCATCTTACTCTCGTCCAATGATCAAGTGGGTCATATTGAGGGCGGTTTTTCATACTTTTTCTCTTCACTAGTAAGACAACTAGCGCAATGCATTACTGTTCTTAAATTCTGCTCATGACGTGCAGGCCCGGGAAGTGTCTTTAAGAGTGAAGTGACGGCGAGACCTATGAGAAGTCCATGGATAGAATTCACCCTGAATTCTGTTTATTCAACTGTCTTAAAATCACCTTAAAACTTGAAGTTCATGAAAAGGTCACGACACAGTAGTGACCATAGTGACATATTGGTTC